GGGGTGGGGTGGGGGGTTAGTGCCCTGGATATGGCGGATGGTGAGATAGTCGAATATGTCGTGGGGGAGGTTGCTTGCGTGAATGGTGCCGTACACGCCCGACAGTCCTTGGAGTCCTTGGATCTTGTCACGTGCCCCCAGCCCAACCTAGCTGAGGAACCTAACCATGGCATGCGTAGCCTGTCTCCCTCCGCTGCAAGCGGTGACCTAACGTACAACCAACTGCCAACCAACTGCCAACCGACCGCCTGCCAGGTCTTTGCTCGCGGACAGGACGGCGACCATCGCGGACTGACGCCGGGCTTCCTGGAGGGTGTACGACATCAGCGGTTGGTACGAGGCCGCGCGCCGCGGCACCGGGGGGTGTACCTGGGTCGAGTGGAGGCGGTTCCTTCTCCCAGAAGAGTGGTTCTGGAGCTGCAGGTGAGTGATGACGTAATGGGTTCGGTTACCAGGGTTTTAGGACCGCCTGGGATTTCTTTTTGTTCCCTGTTGCTTTGCCTCATGACTGACTGGCCAACAACAATAACAACAACAACAATCGGCATTGCCGTACCCTTCTCCTATGGGAAGCTACGGACACTGACCGACTGACAGACCGACTGGCTGACTGACCGACTGACTGACCGATTGACTGTGACTTCGGCATGAAGAAGAGTCAGAAGAAAAACAGCTATAAGAGAAATGCTAACGGACTTTTGTGGGGGGTAATCTCAACATCTCAACACCCCCCGTAGGCGCCACTCAAACGCGGCGACGGCGTGGCGTTCGACTGCGGACGTCCGGAGGACGACGAGCCCGGCGGCGTCGTGTACGACATTCTCGATGCCAAGGGAGCCGGGCCCGCCGCCGCCGGCGGTGGCAGCGACTGGGGCTCCAACCGACCCGTGGGTCCTGGGTCAAGAGTCACAGTGGTGCTAGGGCCCCAGATCCAGGGGGGTGCGATGCAGGTAAGGGCGAGGAGGAGGACGAGGAGGAGGAGGAGGTCTGGCTGGGACAGGGCTGAGGGCTAAGCACTGGCTGGCAAGGCTGAGGGGCGCGAGGGCTGTGTGGAAGGGCCGCGCGCGAGAGTGGCAGAGGGAAGGCCGGAGCGTGTGTCGTACTGCATTGCGCGAACCTCCGCGAGGGGTTTGGAGGAGGGCAGGAACCCCTCCTACTGTTTCATAAAGGAAAAGACTTGGAAAATTTAGAGGGGAGGGCATGACGTTCTTGCTTTTTTGGTGTATATGTGTATATATATGTATATATGTGTATATATATGTATATATGTGTATATATATGTATATATATGTGTGTGTGTGTGCGTGTGAGGGCTTTCCCCGCGTGTATTCCATTCTGGTGTGTGTGTGATGGGCCCCCTGGTGCTGATAGTCCTGTGGTCAGAGACACAACCTGGGCTAATGTGCCCTGCTCTAAGTTCCAGGAGGCCGTACCCCCGTACTGGTCCTTATCGCCACGTCATCAACCGTAACGGTCTAACGGTCCGCAGGGGATCTCTCCGGGGCATTTAATGTGGCGTACGAAAGATCCCGCCCTGGAGTCGCGCCTCCGCGCGTCGTACGACAGCCTCGCCGCCGCGAACATGCGCCGCCTGCCGGTGACGGCGGCCGTCGCCGGCGCCGTCGGCGGTCCGCTGACGCTGACGGTGTACGATCCTGACGGCCGGGCTGTCACAGCGGCGACGCGGCTGCCGCTGGTGGCGGCGGCCAATCGACCGTTGACGGCGGATGACGTGGCGCGTGCTTTAGGGCCGCAGCTAGGCGAGCCGACGTTGGCGCTGGCGGGCGGAGTGGACATGACGGGTTTAGGTTTGGCGGCGGGTACGGCATAGGTGCAGAATTGTACGGTATACGGTATACGAACACGCGCCACACGTGCATGTTCACGTTCGAACCCAACAAAATCTCTAACAAAAAGATCTTCTATCTTTTTCCTGTTCTTCCTTTACTTTTATCTTTTCCGCACGGGCTGCCAAAAGCATCTTAGCCATCCAAAAGCCAAAGCCGGCCCGCGCCCACATGACTCGTAGTTGACCGTTGCTACGGGTCATGTACGGCACCCATTTTCTGCCCCTCTTCATCTCCTTCCCGTGCCCATATGCACGTGTTTCCCTTTTTTCCCTCCCGGGGAAGTTTACTTCTTAGGGGAAGGTGGAGGAAAGGGAGCGCGGCTGCAGGCAGGGAGGGGAGGGGAGGGGCAGGGAGACAGGGGACATCGACAGGGCCGAGATATCAGCCTCCCCCCCCCCCTCCAAACCCTCTGCCCTCTCGCAAAGGGGGGGGGAAAGGGGGGGAAAGGGGGGAGGACCCTCTGGATGTGCCTCGCGGCCGGGGCAGCAACACCGGTCGCGCGCAAAGGCCGGGGGTACAATAAATACCGCACGCACCACGAGCTTCCGGAAAACACGCATCAAAAGTGATAAATGTTTAAACATAATCCCCTTCTTTTCCTTTTGGGGAAGGGAAAAAGAAGCCCAAAGTGCATGTGCCAGCATGGAAAAGGATATGTGGCCCCTTTATGGGCGATAGCACGAGCAAGTCATATGGACATATGGACACATGCCATCTTTTTCGCATGAGTTTTGAATGGATGTGCGTGTTGACATTGACGGCGATGTCTCTTGCTGGTCCATTGGAAAAAAAACGTTTTTTTGCCGACTTCTATTGTTATCAGCTGTCACTGTTATCCGTTATATTGCTGTTAAGTTAGTTGCAGCTTAGTTCTTGCTTTTCTTCCCCTGCCCACCTGTAAGTCATCATTACCAATTTTTTGTAGCAAAAAAATGAGATTTGTTGCTTATAATTCTTGTTTCCTTTTTGTTGTTCCGCCCGCCCTCGCTGAGCCGCCGTCAAACCGCAGGTTTGTTCATGCCCGCCTCCGAGATCAAGTCCGTCCGGCGGCAGGCTGTTGAGGCGCTGCTGGCGGCGCGACGTCAACACCCGCGCGCCGATGGCCTCGCCGAGGCACCCGTACTGCCGGACATGCTGGCTACAGCCAGGGCGGCGGCCCCGCCACCACAAGTGCTACGGCTCCTGTCAGACCTATCGTGTTCGGCAACTGCAGCAGCAACAACAACAACAAAAAGAACCGTAACAGCAGCAGCGACGGCGGCGGCGGCGGCAGCGGATGCCGGTGTTGAGGAAGGGTACGACAACGGCAACGATGACGTCTCCTGGACGGCTAGCGGCGGCGGCGCCGCCGCCGCCGCCGGTTCCCGCGGCGGCGCACCTGACGTGTGCATCCGCGTGTTGTGTCGTACTCGCGAGCAAGTTGACGCGGCGTTGCAGGTGCAGTGGCTTCGTGAGGTGGTGGTGGACTTCCTGGAGGTGCAAGGTCTTAAGGAGGCGGTTGCGGCGGTGAGCAGGGTGTGGCAGGGTATACCAGCGCGTGCATACATACATACGTACATACACATGCGGCTTGAGCGCATCCCGCATGTCCCGCGGGACACACGAAATGACCATGAACTTTGGATATATGTATCTATGTATGTCGGTGTAGGTAGAAAGAGGTAGACATAGAGAGAGATTGCACACGCGTATGTACGTATGTTGTTACAGGGTGGTATAGCTTCACCAGCGGCCCCCTTTCCCGGGCAGTCCCTGCTCTCCCCTGCTAGAGGGGCACCCTAATCCGTCACCCCATCCGACTTCAGAATGTATTCGTTGGGTTTGGCAACTCACCACCACCATCCAACCAAATCTAGCGGATCAACGGCGCATCAACTTAGTTCCTGGTCAGCTCGCAAGTTGATTTTATCACGTTCTACACCGTCCACAAGATGGGGGGCCCTCTCCCATTTCATGACTCCTCAAACACCCGAGGAGCCGGCAGGCGGATTTGAACCCGGGTCGGCCGGGAGCAGAAGTCAGGCCTTAACCTCTGCCAGCCGCCTGCCTATAAACGTATGTATGTATGTACGTACGTACACACCTCCGGGTGTGCACTGCAGGTTCGTGCCTCGGGCCGAAGGGTAGTGGTGGCGACGCCTCGCGTGCTCAAGCCCGATGAGCAGCGGCTGTGGCTCTTCTACCTGCGACTGGGCGCCGACGCCCTGCTGGTCCGCAGCGCCGGTATGCTGCACCAGCTGCAACTGCTGGGCGGTCCCGGTGAGCCCGCCTTCCATTTCCCCCCCACCCCACCCCCATCGGCCCCCGAAGGGGGAGGGAGATGGAATTGGGGAACATGGGGAGCATGGGGAGAGGAGCAGCTGCGTGTAGGGCGAGTAGAACGGAGAACATGTCTGTGACTGGGGGGTTGGGGCGTTGGGGGAAGGACGAACCACACGCAATTGAAGCTGCTGCCAGGCGTTGGGGGGCGTTGGGGGGCTGCCGTGTGGGTTTTCAGGGCAATAAGGTGGATTGGGGACACGTCGCCTCCGCCAGGGCCTACCCCTGTCAGAGCAAGCTGCTCGTCCGTCAGAGCAAGCGGCTCAGCTCATGAAAAAACCCACACTTTCGTTGGCTTTCGTCCCACGCCCACTGGAATATGCGTACCAATTATGTATGTGTACGGCTCCCGGCCGCCCCCGATGTAGATGCAAAAACCTCTTCACCTTCCGCACTCTTCTCCTGCGTTTTGTCCCCTTGTGCCATCCAAACGTCTCCCCCATTTTTCGCCGTCGTGTGTGCATTACGCACAGGCGCTGTCGTACCGGACGTGCCGTACCCCATTCCCGCACTGGAGGGTGACTTCAGTCTCAACGCGGCCAATGTCCTCTCTACGTCCCTTCTGCTCCGTGGTGGCGGAGCCGCCGCCACTGCCGCCACTGCCGCCGCCACTGCCGCCAGTGCCGCCACTGCCGCCGCCCCCGCTTCTGGAACTGGAACTGGAACTAGCAGCGACAGTCCCGGCAGCGAAATCGGCCATGGCGGCAGCGCAGCGGTCTGGCGCGGGCTTAGTCGTCTGGCTCCCACCCACGACCTCCACGCGGGTCAGCTGGCGGCGCTGGCTGCCGGTCTGGGTCCGCGGCGGGCGCAATTGGAAGCCATCCTGCACCAGCACCTGCCCATATTCCACACGGAGCACTGCGTCTTTTGCAGGTGGTGCTGATGATGTGGTAGCGGTAGAGTGTGTGTGTGTGTGTGTGTGTGTGTGTGTGTGTGTGTGGATTGCCTTCTTCTGGGTTTTACGTGGGCTGGGTCGTCGCCCGCCCTAGCGGGGGGAAACTGGATCGCGAACCTAGGTAAGCCCTCCAGAGAGTCCCCGTCCCCCATCCTCCGCGTCTGGCGTTTCGCCTATCTGATTATTAATGCGTAATATATAACGCAATAATATAATATATTATTTGTATGTATGTATATTATGTATATGCGTATTATCTTTATGATGTATATGTAGTATATTATATAATATTGCCTGCAGCACTGTGCTGCATTCGTCCCTTATGTAATATTATACATATTTTATGTGTGTTATATAATTTAATTATATAATAAAAAATGAAAAAAATTTAATAACTGGACTGCCATGCCTGGTCGCCACAACATCTTTAGCGGCTGATGCCATTCCTTACTGTTTTTTTTTTCGGCTAGTGTTTCACGGCACCAACCATTTTCCCATGTGTTCCTGTTTTCGCGACGGGCCCTCCTCCCTGCCGGTTGGCCGCCCTCTTGCCATCAGGTTCCTGTCCAGCGGCAACAGCTACAAGGACTGCGGTCACCCCTGCGAGAGCCACCGGCTGCACCTCCGAGACAACGGCGGCGCGGACCATTTGGTGCTCGCGGATATGGGGTGCAGGAACACGGTGTTCAACGCCAAGGCGCAGTCGGGTACGAGGGGGTGGTATGTGGTTGTGTTGTGTGGAGTGTGGGGTATTGGGGCGGGGCGGGGCGGGATCTCCCGTCGTCGGCCACACATGTGTGTTCGAGTCAGCCCCGTAAACCACGTGGGAGCTGCAAAACAGGCACAGACAAATAGCCGGCCCACGGCCTGCGGTGTTTTCTTGCGTATTTTCTATTTCTTGCGCATGTTTTAGACGTTTTGTTTCTTCCAATGTACGGCATTCCAATGTACGGCATGTCGCTACGCATGTACGGCATGTCGTTTACTTCCCGGGGAGAAATCGAAGGTTACCTTAACCCCTCTGTAAAGCCCGGATGCGCCGTTGCGCGCGTAGCTATGCAAGGCTAGGTAGCAGTGGCACCGTCCTGAATAGCAGTGAAATTAATACTGCGCGATATGTGTGTGTGTGTTATACATGGCCATGGGTGCGTTCCCCGTACATGCAAACCTGCACGATATGACATTTGGGGATAGCTTACTGAATTAATCCATGTACTGATTGATCCTTTACATGCGTGCCGCCTTGATGTTCCCAATGTTCCCTTCTGACAAGAACATGTGACCTTTGCGTGTCTGGAATTTTACGGTGTTCTCAACAGGCGCTTTCTACGTGCGCGACCTGATAAAAGCTGGCTACCGTACCGTACGGATAGAACTGGTGGACGAGCAGCCACAGTACGTAGCTCCACTGCTCGAGGGCTACAGGTACAGGCATATGCGGCGCTAAACAGTGCTGAAGCTGACGGTATTAAAATGCATCTGGCCCTTTTGATATAAATGAAGCTTTCTGAGTTTGATTTTGACCTTCCTCCTGGATAAATAAATAGCTTACGAGCCAGTCAGTTGCCCAGCGTGACCCCAATCAAGCTTAATTCTGCCATTTGATAACAATGAATGAAATATTAAAAAGTTTGCAAATATCATCGATTATGATTATGATTCCAATAATTGTGTCGTTATTAGGAATGCACTGTAGCAGTCAATTGGTTTCAAACTCTGCTGGTCCCTGTAGTGGATTTGGTCCATTTTCCATGACGTCTCGGCCATTTTCCATCCGACCACCCGGCCATAACGTCTCCCGTGTCTCCCATGTCGGCGCCTCCCTCCACAGAGATGTAATCCTCGGCCGTCGCGGTCCCGGGGACTTGTGGCGTTGGTTGGGCACATTACCGGACGCCAACGGTGCCGTACACGGTGTCGACGCAGGCTCACTGCAGGTGCAAAAGGAGCGCTCCAGGGGCGCCATGAAGCCCACCGCAGCGGCTCTCAAGCAGCAGCAGCAGCAACAACAACAACAACAACAACAACAACAACAACAACAGCAGCAGCAGCAGCAACAACAACAAGGAGCTGGCCTAGCGGTTGCGGTTGCCGGAGTTCGGTTAGAAACGGTTAGCCACGGGAGGAAAGGGTAGTTCGGTTGCGGTGAGGGAGGTTGTCGCAGTTGCATGACATTAAAATGACTACGATGGGGCCCCGGGATTCGTAGGTTTAGGAGCTAATGTCGTTATGTTGCGCTCTAGTTAGCTTTTGTTTCGACCATGTCGATCTTCGCGCGGTCGAATGTTATAGCCCTGTAATCTGCATGCCCGAGTTGGGCTTTTAAAAGATTGCGCGTCTTGTCTTGACACACTTGAATGCTTGGCGCGAATTGTTCACATGGTTAGCCATCAGGAGGGAAGGGAAGGTAAGGCGGTAATGTTCCGTTGAGAACTCAGGCAGGGTGATGACAGAATGGTGAGAGCATGTGCTTGATGATACGATTTTGCATATGCAGGTGATCTTTTTTTAGCGCCGCGATGGTGTGGAAATCCGTTCGCGAGGCTATGCTGTGGTCATGCTGTGCTTGAAAGAGCAATAGCAAAGAGCAACTGCGTGGCGATTATTATTGTCGTACTTGTGACAGCTTTCCTATTTTCATTTTCGGCACTGTTTACAAATTGTAGTTACTTCCCCCTTCCATTTCCACCTAACTTTGATATTTCCGACCTGTGCTCCCAGTCTTTTGTCCTGATCCTGACCTAAAACGGTCGAGCGATGCCCGCCTGGTTCTTTTCCGCTTCGCCCCCTTAATCCCCCGGGTCACTGTCACTGGAAGGATAGACACACTTACCCCGATCAAGAAATAAAAACAACACGCAAATGGGCACCTTAAGGATTGGCTCCCTCTCGGCTTTGCGCTTTTCGAACATGATACGGTAACGATGCTATCCGTAGGCAAGCTTGCGAAGTAAAAATACGGAAACCTCCCAGGGCACATGGCTTGGGTCTTCTTGGGATTGGGGGATTGAATAACTTGAAACGGCCGTCTCACCATCGCCCATTCGTTGTTGCATCAACAGTTGGTACTGGTATAGCTACAGCAGCTGTGCCTGATGCTGTCAACGTCCAGCACCGCATGCAGCGTAGTACGACGTCTTCACGACCCACCCGATGATCAACCATCAACCACCAAACGCTTCCAACTCGTTGACATGGTGGATTTGTTCGCACCCAGCTAGACACCCCTGCCCATTCACAGCTCTCAAAAGTACAGCAAATCTTTGAGACATCGCGAATAACGAGCATCCATGGATACCGTATTTCAAAAGGATGCTTTTCATGCTTTTTGCATAAACTGACTCGAATATTTGCTCACTATTGAAGGGGGAATCACATGTTTTTACTTTAAATCGTTGGAAAACCCCGCAAAACCCATAAAACCTTGCCATTTTTGAGTTTTAGTTTTTCATTCGCAGAGCCTCCATCCATATTGTTAATACCAGTTGTAATGTGGCAGTCAGACTGTCGGAAGGCCGTTTGGTGCTCCCGCCCGGGATTGCTTAAGGAGCAACTATGCAAACAGTCCAGCACGTATATTATAATGCCTGTGATGAAACTTATGTTAATTCCAACCAAGAGCCTGCTCAGGCGCCCAGGCAGAGTGAGTAACGCAAAAGCTGATCAGATAACATTTGAACATTGCATGTAATATGTTGTCGCCGGAGCACAGTCGCAGCAGCAGAAACATTACACACGTTGACAAATCGCCGCCAAGTCAACGAAGATAAATGTCAGAAAATAAATGTCGTGAGGCGCGATGGCAGGGCTGCTGTGTCCCCACTCATCAAATGCACGGATGGGTCCGGGCTACGACCCATCAAAAGCCCAAGACTTGCGCGCGATGAAGAAGATGCGACACAACTGCATTTATAATGACAATCGTATAACCAGGTGGCCCAAACACCAACGAAAACGATCATTCACCAAAAACATCATCACAAACGAGCTATCGAACATGCCCAAGCAGCGACACTATATATAGAAGCATGAGCACATGGCAACCGCAAGTCTCGCCGCTCGCCTGTTCTCTCGCTGTCGCACGCCGGGATGCGGCCAACAGCTCACCACCACAAAGCACCTCATAAAACATGAAGCTACTACTGCGCCTAATGTCTAACCCTAACCCTTCCCCTTCTTTTCTCGTTCGTTGCGAGGCCGAGTCCACGACGAGTCAGTATTTTCAATAACCTCAGCAGCGTATCCCTAGAAAAGCTCTGCACAACAATAAAAGCCCGATATAATAACACACACGCCCGACAGCGAAGGCTCCACCCAAAGAAGTCGAGCCTCAAGTCTCTTCTCCGTCGTACCAACCAATTTTCACCAAACACGAACACCAACAGACTTTGTGTGAACGCTAGCTTGCTGTCGGCAAGCACAGCGTAGACTTCCTTACGCCGCACCGACTCAGACCCGTGCCTTGAATCAACAAAGGGCCCCCACGGTCATCTGTCTACGTCATGTTGTTCTGGTCCACATCTTGTTCTGGTCAATCAGGTTAATATAGTCAACCGTCTCTCAACCCCCCTGGAGTGACCCAAATCGTCACCACATGCATGAAGACCGCGCTCCTCTTTGCTGCCCGCCTGAGCATTTCCCGCCAAATTTCAAAACAGCTCATCACCACGGCCGCGGCCACAGCCCCTTTAGTACGACTACACCATGCCAATCCTTCGTCCACCAGAAAAAACGATCCAGCCATACATCTCGATATGCTACGCCACGTCCATTGGCCTCCTAATGCCCGAGGTATCGATCAAATGCATTGACGATATGAGAACGAAAGCTCTTACGGGCCACCCAGCGTCTCACATAGTCACTCCCGCCTGATGATGAAGCAGCTCCCCCGCAACTGCGCGCTAGCAGTGCACCGCTTCAACAGAGAGCTTCAGGTCCATCACAGCCGTCTGCAGACATGCAAAAACAAAACCATTAAAACCCCACACGGACAGTCGGAATTTCGGCCTCTCAAAACTCTCCTCCATCCAAAATGAACAACAACTCGGCCCTGCAAAAACTACGGCTCAGCCTGGCCTTCCACCAGCCGCGTGTGGGCATAAAACGGATCCGCAAGCCTCCCGCCATCATATACGCGATTTTTTGGCCTCTCCAAAGCTCGCATCAACACCAGCGCGACTCGACTTCTTTCAATTACGATATGGTCGTGCTTCGCACCAACACCAGCAAGTTTACAAATAGCGCATACCTCACCCAACAGCAAGACGTACACTTACTTAAAATTTCTTCTTGCCACAGGTTTACTGCTCTATCTCGACACCATGTAACGACGATGCACTAACGACGATGGCAATGACTGCGACCACCACTCAAGAACGGCGTGTACACGCAGGTCGTTGCCCCGCTATCAGCTGGTCGACCTGCCGAATAAACTCGCCTGCCATGCGCCAAACGGTGAATTTCTCCCCTATCTTTCCCCTCCTCCCCCTACCTCTCGCGGCAAAGCCTACCCCCTCCGCAACACTTCACCGGGACATAGTTTGCCGACCGGCCGACGCGCCGTCTCCCCGCGCCCTGCCGTGCGAAACACGATTGCAAGGACTGCGACGGCCTCCACATGTTCACGTGTTAAGAGGATGGCGTTCCGAGTCCAGCAAACCATGACGGATTTCCGGGCCCAGATCATGGCGTCCGCGACCTTCATAAGCGCTCCCTGCAACCTGGGCGCCCGCGTCTCCTGAACCATCCTACGGCGATGCCGCCGCTGAAGACAACGGACAACGGCACAGCCGACTCCGGCAACGCTCGTTCCGCCGCTGTCGCACATCGCAGGAAAATGTGAATTGGGCTGACCGGCGCTGCTGCTTGGAGTGTGCGGGACGCCATTTCCCAGAGCTCATGGGCACAAAGGGCGTGCTATTCCTGGATTGCTCAACTGCTAGCTCAGAATAGCGTTACTAGGATCCAAAGCCGCTCATGTATGAGGTACAAAATGTACTTGGAGACGAACTCCGCAGCACCCATCTCCATGGCTTCATCGAGCTGCGACGAGTGAGATAACGCGGATCGGATTAATTTAGCAACAGCTGCAGGTAGAGTGGACCATATGTGGATGCGCTGTGAAAAGGCGAGCAGCCCTTTGTCTTCCAAGCACGCCGTGGGCTGGAAATCAGCAGGTATCAACAGATCGCCTTTTCCGTTATGCGCTATGGAGAGTCCGTTTAGAAAGCGACGTTGTTCCTGTCCCGACGAGCTGTTCGCAAGCGTGTAGCTCCGCCTTGACGCGCTAAGAAGGGCCTCATCGGGGCATATAACTCACCGTTGCATTGAAGAAGGTCATGGTTAGGATAATCGTTGTTGCCGTAGAGAAAAAGCGCCAAGAGAAAGCTTTGACAATGCTCCTCAACAACGAGTCGTGCTGTGGTCGCACTTGTGCTTCCTTCTGTGGCACAAATAAGCATGTCCTCAAGAGAATGTTACTAACGGCAAGGACTTCAAGTCTGCGATGGGGCTTTACACAGTGAAAGCCCTTGTCGTCCGTCCTACCTTGTCAGCTTCGCCGTTTTGTGTTTGGCGCGCCGCTGCTAATCCAGCCTGAAAATATACAGGAGCATAATCCAAGCGACGGCGGTTCAGGGCAATGACCCCAGATTGCCAAGCGCCGCCCACGGTAGGCCACTAACTCGCCAAACTCTCACAGTTACACGTAAAATAGATCCAAGTGTTACCAAAGTTCACCTGGTATCCGGCGTCATAAGCATTTTGCACCTCCTCATTGGCAAGCAGGTCTCTTTCTACTACGCTCAATGCCGCTGCAGCTGGTGCGCTAGGCTTGTTCTTACGGCCTGCTGATTCGCCAGAACGTTCGAGTGAAAGCGCACAAATAAGTCGGAGAGGGCGCCGCTTCTCTTGCTGTAGGCGTGTCTTGCAGCCGAACCCATGGCATTTTTGCAAAAAGAAAGAGGCCATTACTGATCACTTCAACTATGCTAGTGCCCACAGATACCCTCACTGTAAAGAAAGCGAGTAGATAACTGTGAAAATTTGTGTGGAGGTTTCCTTTGTTTCCGCCCCTCCAGCCAGTTGTACGTGAACCCCTCCATCTGGCCATAGTTGCGATGTGTTCCCAGTGTGCAGTAAAACCCGCCGTTGTAAACGACGACATTCTGTCCTATCGCGATATATAGAGCCCAGCGACAGATGATGCGCACCTCGTGGTCGTTATTCCTATATTTATAGTTCTCTCCACGCACAATTTTCCAACTGTAATGTATTGTAGCTTGAATTTGTTTATGAGTTACCGTGTACATAAAAAGACTACTATTGAATTTAGCGCAGCGTCAGAAATTTGTAATTTTGTCAGTGGTGCTTGACGGTGGCTTGTCTTGCTTGCCTTGGTGTCTGAAAATGAAACTTCCGCCAGGATATGTGGCGGGTTTAGGTGTCCATAAAGCCACAGCTTATGGCGGCCTTGGACAACGGCTCATGGAACGCATGGGCTGGAGCAAAGGACAGGGACTTGGCAAGGAGAAGCATGGAATGAAGGATGCAATTGAAGTGAAAAAGAAGGAGGACACTCTGGGGGTACGTTGCATGCCGCCGTCCCGTTTGTTGGCCGCCGCCAAGGCCTTCACCGTCGTTATTGCACGACCTTGATCGCCATCTCAGTCAAGCAAAGTTGGTATGCATGCTGTTATCTTTCCCATAGCTCATACCTTCGCCGTGAGGTCCCTTAGTCGACGGCCACATCCACAAATTGAACCCTTGGAAGCTGTCTCGCTAAGCGCTGCTCTAGCTTGTCACGTTCCTCTCTCCTCGGCCTCCCCCCTCTAAACTTGCTATAGTGAAAATTGTCCCTGACGCTCGGGAGCGCTGTCTTGCACGTTACTCGGGCAACGGAAGCATGCGATAGTATGCACCTTGACAAAGTCCTCCCCCATCTCAACCTTTCAACATCGCACCCCTTATCTCTGCACGTCCAAACCAGAAATATAGTCAGTTATTGACAAGGCAGCTTTTAGGATTTATAGATCACCTCTCCATCCGCAGTCCGTTTCCAGGGATAACGGTCGGCGCCCTTGATGCTAGGATTTATCTTTATTTTCTGTTTGTGTTGCGATGCCAACACCACGTCGTAGCTCCCTCCTTCCTTTCCCGCTCACTCTATGGCGTCTGGCGACGGTCATCATCCGGCACGTATCTACGCATCCTCATGCACTCACAGGCTTTCCCACAGCCATGATCAGTGCCATGATCAGTACCATGATGACCCAAATTCCAGTCACACGCCTCGTGTTTTGCAGATATAAAAAGCAGGAAAACATCAACTTCACATAATGACCCAAATGCCAGCTGTTTCCAACGGCCGCAGGTTGGCGCAAACGGGGCCTGGAATTGGGAGCAGAAGTACTGGGAGGACGCATACAACTCTGCCATTCAAAACATTAACCATGTACGTGGTGAATTTCAGAATCTTAGTACACATCGATGCCTCTGTACGTGGTGATGATGTGGGGAAGCTCTTGGCGATGTTGGATTTGGGTCGTACGGAAACAATTACCTAGGAAAAACAAAGAATGTGCCAATTTTTACAAGCTGAGCATTAACTGCTGCCGTGCTTTTCTCTGGTCATGTAAATTTCTATCTCCCTACAGGAAACCAGTGGCAGCAGTAGCAGCGACAGTGATAGCAGTAGCAGCGACAGCGATGCCGACGCTGCTCGGCGAAGCAGCAAACGCGCACGGAAGGCGATACCTCAGACGACCACAACGGGTGCAACTGCCGCAGGTGCCGTACAGTCGCTAACCGTCAATCGTGACGGCACACTGGCTACCGCTAGTGAAGCGGAGCTTCGCATCGCGGCGGAGCTAGCGAAGGATCCTTGGGGAAGGTGAGGTGGGGATAGCCCGTGGCTTTGTGTCAGCATGTTCTCTCCGGCGACTGCAAAGTTAAGCTAAAGCGGGAATTTGGCCGAAGGCCTAAGGCGTGGGGGAAGTGCGAAGGGCGCGGACGGCCTAGACAAATAAATAGGCCACGTTTTGGCATAGGCTTAAACCTCGTGTACATTTTGGACCCACGAAGCGCGCGCGTGACAGGTAATGCCTCCTTTCCGTTGTAAGTTAGCTGAGTGTTTAAGCTACAACGGTAAGCAACCACCTAATCAGGCCGCGGGTTAACAAGAAAGGAAGCAAACGGCACACCTATGCATTGCCGCAGAACGCTGTTTATATGAACGGGGGTATGGAAGCGGGGACGGGTGAAGGGCGGGTAAGTGGCGGATCTGGTGCACAATGCGCACTGCCGCGAGGCTTACGGGTGGACGGATGGATGTCTGGATGGATGGGGGGGTAGGCAGTAGAGCCCCCGGATTCAGCGTCGCGGTCGGCAGTGCCGCCAGGGCTGCTATTGGATAGGATTCCAAGCCACTCGTGTCTGGCAACGGTTGATTTTTCATCCCCGTGTCGATTAGTAATACTTGGCGGCAATTTGCCGTGACCTAGATTTTTGCTTAGGGATGATGCCTTGACTCTCGGATCCTCTCGCTTGTCGTGGATTCTTTGGGTAACGGGGATGGGAACCAAAGGTTACCCCAACAGGATCCTTACGTACCCCGGGTTGCGTCCTTCTGAGCTCTTTCCGCCTCGTCGGCTGATGATGCGGGGCTGCATTCCGCCGCAGGTGGGGGGGTCGCGCGGGTAAGATGGCCCGCATTCGCGCTCAGGAGCAAGAAGAGGCGAATCGGGCTCGGGCCAAGTTGGGCTTGCCGCCACTGCCTGTCGCGACGGCGCTGCCACCAGCATTCGATGGCGATGACAGCAGTAACAGCAGCAGTAGCGGGGAGGATACTGACAGCGATGGGCCCAGCACCCGCGGTCGCCGAGGGAGGGGCGTATCCCAGGGGAAGGACAAGGGGGCGGGGGAGAGGCAGACGAAGAGGGACAAGGCGGCAAATGGAAAGGTGAAGAAGATGAAGAAGAAGGCAAAGGAAAAGAAGGAGCCGACGGATGCGGGCGGCAGTGGTGAAGAAGGCGTGAATGACATGCCGGTAAGCTGTAGCGGGAATGAAGGAAAAGCAGAAAACGAATCTGGGTCATGGGACTCGAACCCGAACATGAGTGCAGTCCTGGGAATTAAGTGATTGAGGGAGAGGGAAGAAGGGCGGGTAGCCCATTTGCCAAGTATATGGCTCCAGCTGCTACTTTGATCAGCACCCTTCCAGTCATCCTCCCTGCACCGGTCCTGTCTTTGTTCCCAATAGCAGCAGCTTCACAAACTGACCCATTTTTCTCAACTGCCTAACGGACTGCTGGGTTAACTAACAAACCGCTGGGCTAATGAACTAGCTGGTAGGATATGCCAAGCATGTAAACTGGCTACCATTTATGCGATAGCATATCGCTACGTCTGCCGATTCTCCAACTCCCCAACGCAGCCGCATGGCTGACGGCGGCCCCAACCCCCAGTCTGCATCGCACCCACCTACTCTACCCTACCCTACCATCCCTGGCTCATGCAACACACGGCAGGACTCGGCGGCCCCTGCTAAGCCTGCCCCCAAGCGAGTAGTGGTGGTGGTGGGCAGCGAGGCGGCCGTAGCGGCACGGCTCAAGATGGTGAGCAGCTAGCTAGGCGCCGGGGGGCTTCCCCTTGCCGGTGTACGCGTCGTCGCTGTGCAGTCCCCCCTCCCCAACAGTCCCGTCCCATCCGGGGCCTGTCTCATTCACGATGTTGTCCGCACCCCCAGCCTTCCGGTCTGTCGCTGCACTACCGTTGGAACTGCCCAGTCATCAGCATCGTTCTTGTTGTCGTTGTAGTCGCGTCTTGGCCGCTTGTGCTTTTGGAGATAGCGCTTTGCTTCTACGCTTCACATGTTTATGACGTTATAATGTAAAATCAAGGATTACAAAGTTATATTTTTTATATACAAAGTTAATTTTTTGGTTGTTTTTATAATATATGTGTACTCTGATGTAATCCTTACTCCGATCCCTTCCTTTCGTACTCCAGTTCGCTTCATTTAGGCCCACGCCTGCCACGGGCTGGTGGGGTGCTAAGATGTTTTCAAGTGCGGGGCTCCTGGAGAGCCTGGAGGACGAGACGGCTGGGGACCAGCGCCTGACGGAGGCTGCGGAGCGGCAGGCGGCGGATGAGGCGGCAGGGCGGGTGTCGCTGGGGGGCACAGCCGCGGTAGCGGCCGGGCAGCGGCGGGGCTTCAACGAGGACGACCAGGCTGCACTTTACAAGCGGGTAAGGTGGACCAGAACCCAGATAGCGCTGAGTCGAGACGCGATTGCCGTGGCGGATTGGGTGTGTGTGGATGGGTGGGTGGGTGTGCGCGAAAAACGGCAAAGGCAAACGTATTTGTGTTGCGCGGCAACCGTATTTTAGGGGTCGGTTTTTTTAGAGGTACGGCAGGCATGTACGGAATTCTCCCGCTGGTGTCGTAGCTGTCACATCTCTCCTTTGTTCCTTTTATGTTTATTATTATTACTCATTACGGTGCGTGCGTGTGGTGCAGTACATGGGCCCGTTCCATGCATCCTGCGTCTGAATTATCATCACGCGGAGAAGTCCCCTTTCCTCTTGTACCCTTTTCTTCTGCCTGTTTGAAAATCCCCTCCCGCCTGGCTCTAGCCCAGCTGGGAGCTTTCTAACATCAAGACATGATGTTTTACTAGGCGAATCATAAATTTTATATATTCATCAGCACGTTTGTTTTCCATGTCTGTGGCCATCGGGCTATTTGTCTTGTGAATACAGAAAAAATAAATAGGGGACAGTAGTGTTTGTATTATTCTTACTGTTATTGTTTCTTGCTGTTGTTCCGTTTCGCATACCTTGGGATGGGTTTCTTTGTGGTGCCGTACCGCATCCGCAGGTACATGACTTTCAGCGCGTTGGGCGGAGGGGCCTCGGAAAGGGGGAAGTCAAGGTGGGGGGGACAAAGTGGGCGGGTACGAAGAAGACCTTTGGGGAGGAGGGCGATGACGGCGAAGATGGCGATGACGAAGAGGAGGGCGGCGGCGGCCGCGGCGGCAAGGACGAGGAGGAGGAGGAGGAGGAGCAGCGACAGGTCCGGAAGCAGGGCACGGCGAACGAAGCCGGAAATTCGGGGCGCGAAAAGGATGTCGAGGAGGAAGAGGAGGGCGAGGAAAGGAGGAGAAGGAAGAGAGAGAAGAAGAAAAAGAAGGAAAAGAAAGGGCAGGAGGAAGACACGGCTGAGGCGGCGGGTCCCGCAGAAGGTAGCGCCGCAGCGACTGAGAAAGGGGCTGTCAAAGCGGGAGAGAAGAAGACGAAGAAGAAGAAGGAGAGGCGACATCAGGGGGAGCAGGAGCAGGCGGAAAAGGTTGTCTCAGAGGGGCAGCAGGTGCAGGAGACGGCGGAGCAGGATGGCACTACCGCTTCTAGGAAAGCGAAAAAGCGAAAGGTAGGTAACATGGACGCCGGCGCAACGACCGCGGTGCCGGTTTTGGAGCTCCCGCAGCCACGGCGGCAGCAGCAGGAAGACAAGGAGAAGGCAGCACAGGAGTCACTGGCGGCAGGGGGAGCTGCGGCTACTGCCGCCTCCACTCCTACCACTGCGGACGCCCCGAAACCCAAGTGGCTCAAGCTGGCGCGAATGGTGCTTAAGAAGGTCAGTGATGAGAAAGAGATGAAAACGAAACAATGTTTGACAACATCGACGCCGCCGAGTGAAGTTACCAACCCAGTGAAGCCATTTTCTTTTGAACAGTTCAAATTTAAAAAATGAGGGTTTTAATCGGAGGCAGGGAGGGCCTTATGGTCGTTTCAGCCGTTATTGCGTTTGGCTAAAGTCTCTGTCATCAGGCGATAATCGTTAGTTGGGAGGGAGGAAGGTAAGGCGAACCACTGGAGGGAGAAGGTGCGGGCAAAGATATTTCTTAAGCTTCTCCTCAATTACGTAAGAAGTCATCATTTTTGTCGTAAGAGATTTCCACCGGGTGGCGCTATTCGGGTGCGGCTTTTTGAGTCCTCCTTTTCCCGGCAGACAGCGTGGATGGCCCCCGTGCGTTCCACACGGCCTGGTGCTCTGATTTCGGTGCCACGTGACCACTACACTTCCGGGATGCTGCTGGGCTGACCGCTGCTGTCTAGAAACTAGAAAAATTCTGTCTGTTTGTTTGTCCATTTGTCTGTTCGTCCATTTGGGTCGCGGGGCCCTCCCCTAGACCGTGCCATGAAAGCGCGCGAGACGCACGCACACACACACGCTCGCAAGCACACCTGTGACTATTTATTTCTAGAACGGCTGCTTGCTTGACTGGTCCTCGCGGCACTTGGTCCGGGCTTTCACTATCTTCGTCGCATCGTTCGTCCCCCTCCACCTCCGTCTCAATTTGCAGTCAGCTGAGCGTCGAGTGAAGCTCCGAAAGGTTATTGCGGAGCTTGTGCTGCACGCTGAAGAGCAACACCGTAACCACCATCAACACAACCACCACAACCACCATCACAGCGGACGCGAGCATGGGCATGAAGGCAAGGAGGGCAACAGCGGCAAGAAGAACAAAACCAAGAAGGATAAGAAGGGCGAACAGGGTGCAAAGTCGTTCCTGTCCGCAACAGTGGAAGATTCGACGGCAAAGGATGCGGGTGGGGCCAGCAGCGGCAACAGCAATACTAGTCCTTGGGATCACGACGTTGTACGGCAGGCGCTGGAGCGCAAGGTGCGTGAAAGGAAGGGATGAAGCTACGGGATGGGATATGCGTCGTATGCTTTGGTGGTGCATTTTCCGGGGAAGCGGGAATGTCGAGGCAGTTGCGCTACAGGCATACGGACAGCTGGGGCTGTGGGATTGGAGAGCTGGGGGAAGCTCTCGTGGCAGCAACAGCAGCAGTAGTAAAAGCAGTAGCGCAGTCTTGCGTGCACCCTTAGACTAACATTTCATCACATTTCATCACATTTTTTACCATCGCGCTGATGTGTGTGTGTGTGTGTGTGTGTGTGGAGTGGAAGGGATTTTGGGCTTTCGTAAGCTTTTATCGACGCCTGTCGTTTGAGTTGCTGGTATTTTGCGGTATAACGTCGTTTTTAACGCAATTGTGTTTCTGTTTCTGCTGCACTTGCCGCGTCCTCCTTGTCTATTTTCCAATGCTGTGCACCCAACGCCTCCCTCCCCTTCCTGTTGCGTCGTAGATCCGGAAAAGCAACAGCGGATTGGCGATTGACGGGAAGTTCCTCACGATGGTGGGTGCATCCTGATGATGACGACAACGACGATAACGATGACTCGTCATGACATCTCGTCAATGGATATCCACCTCTATCCATTTCTCCCATAGAAGCCGCGTCCTAGAATACCGCGAACTGTCCGATAGTAAGGGTGTGACGGGAGGTCTTTCCGGTGGGTAGTGGTTACTGGTTTCGCCGTGGCAGCCTCTGGCACCACCACCCGTCTTCCCCATTCGGTATCATAACACGCGGGTTAGACCTGGGGGTTTAGGGTTAGACCTGGGGGTTTAGGGTTAGACCTGGGGGTTTAGGGTTAGACCTGGGGGTTTAGGGTTAGACCTGGGGGTTTAGGGTTAGACCTGGGAGGGGCGTGGGGCTCCATCATCACAATCAGCGGGCCGATGGGATGGATGTAATGAGACGGCAGTAGCATTAGCAGCAGTAGGGGCAGCAGCAGCAGCAGCGAGTGTTGCTGGGTGAGGCACGTATAGCAAACGGCTTGCAGGAATTGTGTGTTGCCTATGGCGTGTGTAGTACACGGCCTGCAGGAAGCGAAAATTAGATACAGAACTAGCAGTAGCTGCGGCGGCAGCAGCGGTATGCGGGGCGTCGACTGTAGCTAGTAGGATTTGTTGGTATTTGCGTTGTGTTCGCAGTAGGAGATAAGGCCCTGGAGCTATTCGCTGGCTAGATTTCATGGGAAGGGGAGGATGGGGGAATATTGGTTTTTGCCGTGTGGTCAAGGAGTCTAGTGCGTTCGTTACGTTTTATGCTAAACAGGTTGACGGACGTAGCTGCGAGCACGGTCCTGCGCTGTGTTTCGGCCCGGTGCCTGGTGTTCGTCTTTTCTGGAGACATGCTGCCCACTGTATAAGAGTTTATCAGTTGAATTTTGTATACCATGTAATTGTTCGTTGATAATGATTTGCAGTGTTCATCTTTTATAATAGTATGTTTCACCGAAATAGATTTCAACGATTCAAATTTACAATCAATTGAAGGTGCAGGCAGTGTTCGGGCCGAAACGGAAACCTGCCGAAACGGAAACCTGCCGAAACTAGTTTGTGGGTGTGCACCGTGCAGGAACCTTTATATTCCGTAGCAATCATCTTCCACAACTCAAAATAATGTCAAGATGCCATGATAGATACGCAACGTAATTAATCAAACCGATATTTTGGAGTACAACTAAATACACGCATAAATTCATATTCTGCCATCACAACCTGCTTTCTAAGCTAATGGTAAAGCGCATTTCCACGATAGTCAAAACATTCTGAGCAGCACGACGGCATAGACGATTTCTGGAGCGCCTATTGCATTATGCAATGGCACGACACCCAAACTTCCTAATAAATGCCTGCCCTAGGAAATGGCCATGCAAATATCACCATATCTTGCAGCCCAATCCAGCGTCTTATCCAGCAAAACAAGAAATGCATCGGTGTACACCCGCGATGAGAATTTGCATTTACACACATCCATAACATCTACAACCATCCCAAAGTCTAAAAGAAACTAGTTCTGGCGCTGTCTCGCGAATCTGATACACAAGAACAATATGTATATGATACATCTTCGAAGCATCTCCGGTCTGGATCAAGATTTCCCCGGCACCGCGGTGCAGACAACTCTTCTCCGTCAAATTCACATCGTGACAGAGGAAAGCAGACAGACAGACAGACAGACAGACAGACAGACAAACGGGAAATGCACGAGCCATGAAGACATGTGCACATACTCTTCCTGAGCCTGGAGCCCACTGTAACAACCACACACACTACACACTCAAACAAAAATATAAAACGCAGAGGAAAGGCCCGTCTGCATGTTCTTACATGCGCGCACATGCAGCACTGTGCCGCGTAGGTCGTGATGCCTAACCCCCATACACGCAACACAAAGAATGCCTCCTTAGCCTTGGCCTCTTTAAGTCCTTATAGCCCTGGGATCTATCACTCACTCACGCACGCCGCGCTTCCGCGTCCCACATCACACCATTACCTCCCCTCCTTAACATTTCATCAAAATGACAACCATATTTCGTTAGGCACAACCGCTATTGTACAGAGTCGCGACCCGGAGGGGTCGAACGTTGGATAGGAGCACCGGCCACACCGGCTACTCGCCGGCTACGGTAGTAACACCATCACACGAAATTTTCTTCCACGCGGTAACCATATACCGTGAACAAAACCGCCAGGATCACGCCGCCGATGTGTTTTCATTGAAGTACATCATGGCAGGTCAATACTGGACAAGCTAGCTGACGACAGCGTGAGATTGTTCAGCTCCTCCCAAAACTGCGCCACAGCGCCGTGCGTGTGCAGCGCCGTCGCCACGTCAACCATCGGCATATGGCCCGCACCAGCCGCACCGATAACACCGCCCAGCGCCGCCGCTGCGCTGAGGCTCACCGTCATCTTTGCCGCCGCCGCCGCCGCTGCTGGCCCCTTAGCCTTGGGCTTTGACGGCCCCGCTGCCGCCGCCACGGAGGGCGAGGAGGCGGCGCTGGCGGCGGCGGATGCAGCCGCGGAACGCCTGGACTTGCCGTACCTTGTAGCAGCCTTGCCGCCGTCGCTTCCGCCACCATCGCCGCCAGCCCATCGGCCGCTGACGGGACCCGCTTGGCTTCGGAGCCGCCGCCGCCGCGGCGGCTCAAGACGAGACGTGGAAGCGGTTGCCTCTGCTGGAACCGCAGCAGCTGATACGAGCCGTTGTGGTGACGACGGCGGAGTCGCCGACGGTGATGACGACGGTAACGACGAGCCGTCCGCGACAACGCCAGTAACCCCCTGAGACTGCACAGCAGACGAAGGTTCTTCGGGGAGCGCGGCCGCATAAGCAGCGGCGGCTGAACCCGCCGCCGGCTTCTGCTTCAGCACTGGTCGCGGTAGCAACGTGCACGGGCTGCCATGGGATCCGCCAGCGGCAACGGATCCACTAGCGGCGGGCACTGCGTCATGGGAGCCGGAGACAGAGGTAGCATTGGCTACTGCGTTGGCGGCGGCGTCTGGAAGAGTCGATGGAGACGATGACGAGGCGGCCTTCGAACGAACCAACGACATCCATACCAATGCCGGCGTCTCCGCGGCATTGTACGGCAGTGAGGCGAGCAAATCATGCACCTTGCCGGGTGCGGCGCCAAGCAGCGCCTGCCATACTGTCAAAGGCGTCCCCGCGGAACAGTATTCTCGAAGCTTCCGCTCCAGGGCAGGTGCGGCGTCGCTACCGCCGGCCGGAGAGGACCCATGGGTCGGCATCAGCGAATTCCACACGTTGCTTGGCGACGAGCTAGCTTCGTAAGGCGGCAACTTAGCGGCACTAGCAGCAGCACTGGAAGGCCCGGCGCCAGCTAGAGAAGCTGCTACTGCCGTGGCCTCCTCAGCCGTCTGGTCAGCGACCTCTATTTTTTCAGCAGCGGCAGCAGCAGCAGTAGCAAAAGTGGAAGCAACGATGGCGTCCGTAGCAGTAATCTCAGCAGCAACAGCAGCATAGGTAGCAGTTGTAGCTGAGGTTGCAGCAGCGGCGGTACTGCTAAACGTTTCGCGGGAGCTTGCCGCCATAAGGCTCAGGACGGCCGCGATGGCTGCAGGCACAGGGCCCATGCGGCGCACCCCAGATGGCCTGCTGAATATCGGCGAGGATGGGCCGGAGAGCGTCGGCTGCGGCAGCGCCGTGGGAGCGGGACCCGGCGGTACGGCTCTAGCGGCTCCGCCATAGGGCCGTACAGGGGCGGCTGCGGCTTGCTGAAGTCCACCTAAGGGACTCGCGGTGGCGGCAGCGGAGGCGGAGGCGGAGGCGCCCGCCGCCGCCGCCGCGTTCGCAAGGATCTCCGCCAAGGGCTGCGTCGGCGATGATACTGCCGCCGCCGCTGCGGCGGCCGAGTCCACCGCTGCAGCCACGGTGCTGGACAAACTCAGGTTGTCCGCGGCGACGGCCGGTGCCGCCGCCACCGCCGCTGGCGGCAGCGTTGACGTTGGCGTCTGCGGCAGAAAGAGAGCCTCTCGAAGCCGCACCCGCTCAGGAGCCGACGGCGGCGCCGCCAAGATGGCACTGACCCGCGGGCCGCGTTGTCGCGCGTACTCCTGCAATGCGCGCGTCGTCAGGCCGTACTGTGCTACACTAGCTCCCAGTACAGCGGCGTCCTCTAGCGCCAGATTTAATGCCGTACTGCTGGCGTCGTCGACGGGCAGGGAGTACACTGCGTCACCCACGAGTGCCGCTGGCCCGGAGAACCATTGCCAGGGTGCCGCCAGGCCGGCGGCGGCGGACGGCGTCGGCTGTCGGCAAGTGTCGTACTCAACGACGGCAGTAGCGCTGGTGGCGCGGAGCGCGGCGTAGAAGTCCTGAGGGAAATCTTCGAACATTGCCAGGCATCGCCAGTAGGGCGCGTCCGCTGCGCAGGCAGGAAAATGAATAACACGGAAAAAAAGAATTGGTCGTTATAAAATTACCGGTCAACAGGGCGGTCAACAGGGCGGTCAAATGGTGGTCATTAGCACCATGAAAGAGATATTCGACTGCGGACAGGAAGCGTCCTGAGGAATAGGTTGCCAGCATTGTCAATTGCCGTACAGGGCCGCTAAGTCTTTCAGACAATAGCTAAGAACTCTGTAAACCTCGGACTTCTCTCCTCGGACTTTCCTACGGATTCCCTCCGCCGAAAGAATCTCCAGGCTTTCAAAGTCAAGCCAGCAGCCGAGTTATAAATGCCTCACAACCTTCCGCACGGCATGCCACCTCACTGCCAAACCTCCTATATGTGACATTGCCAATTTAAGCCCCGCTTTGTTCTGTATAAATGCTCTCCCCCATACCTTCGTTGGATTTCCTCAGACCCCGATTTTCCAGAAGAGTCGCAGGACAGCTGGCGCTCCAGACGTACGTATTTGGTCCTGCCGGCGACAAGGTCGCAGTTCGATCCGCGCCGGGAGCGGCACGCAAGTCTACCCATGTGCGGCAAGCAGTGGAGAAGTTGCGGAGGCGCGCAAAGTCCGGGTCTCGGGGACGCAACGTAAAGCGGCCGCGCCACACGATTTGGTCAGATGGGTGAGAATGTTGAAGCTCTGGTGGGGAATCGAACTGTGGTCACGGGGAATCGGGACACAACAATTATTTCAGCTCTCAGCTCTACATCCTTTCCCCTGCAAAATGTCCACATTACGGGAAACATAAAAATGCAAAAGATATACAGTACGTTGAATTCTACATATACGCCCGTTTAACCTGGGGGAATAGATTACTTGGATTTTGTCAAGAAGGTCTAGCTTTTCCCTCCCGCCCTCCTTCCCTCCCGTCACATGCCGTCAACCCCCCTGCCGTTCCGTACCTGTAGGCGTTTGACCGCCGACTTGGGGCCATCTGCGCCCACAAGCACCCTGGTACGCACTGCCCGCACTGGGGCGCCGTTACGGGAGGCGGCGAAGCGCAGCATCATGCTACTGCCACCAACGCCGCCGCCGGACGAGGAGCAAGCCTCAATCTGGGTCAGGTGATGTCGAGCGTAGATTTGAACCTCTGCGCCACAGAGGAGGTCAAAATAGCTGGTCAGCATACAAAATGCCGGTATTGTCCGGTAATATGATATTTCTATCATTAATATAATTTTTCTATCGATTAATATAAAAAATCATTCTTTAGAAGTAATTGACCAACAAATGCTCTCAGCACCATGGACAAGGTTCAAGCCCCGCGGGGAGCACGCACTCCTCACCCTCAGGCAAGGCCTCTGATAACGCCTCTTGCAGATCGTACAGCGATATGACGAGCGGCGGGGCTGAAGGAGTGGGATCGGGCGTAACAGGGTTTCCGCCAGCAGACGGTTTTGGCACTAGCCGCCGTGCCGCGACTCGGCGACGGCTCTTGTTGGAAGCGCCACCTCCACGAACGGTCAGCGCCGCCGCAGATATGGTACTAGGCTGGCCCAGCGGCGTCCGCCTCACAAGTTCACCCTTGAAGGGAAAGAATATACAAGATATACATAGAACTAAGAAAGGAATCAACAGGAAATTTGCAAAATTCTGCGTTAAGCTATGCAACTAAGATGCGGGCCATCCGGAGCAAGCAGCTCGACAATCTCGATACTAACAAGAATTGAGTCTTACAACTCATAGCTTGACAGCGTAAGTAACATCAGTCAGATACATAATTAAATACTTGAAGAAGGTGAATTTCGTATTTTTGTGTTTTGTTTCTTGTCGCACCTCGAGGTCGAACCAGAGGGCCTCAAGAATCGGCGAGGACAGCTCGGTTGCAATCCTGCGGGTTTTAAAAAGCGTGGTGGAGTGTGGAACAAAATCGATTTGAAGAAACAAGGTAGGTCTAAAGAAACAAAGAGGCGAACATCTTGACCAGCCACCGCTGTCATTCGGACCGTCGCTGTCCAGTTTAAATGTCGCTGCAGCCGTTCGCTCAAAGGACACCTACACTACTCACAACAACTTCCTGACCACGCATGCGGCACCCTTCGAGTCTCAGACAATCTTGCTGATTGCAAAACCGGTGAGGTTGCGTTCTAACACTGCATGAAACGTGCGTAGTCAGCAGATGCTTGAGCCCTGCAAATACCTGTTGTATAGGTTGGCATCTAGCGCTTTCAGTGCCCGTAGACCATTTACTGAGAGCAGCACTCCGCCGTCACGGGCCGTTGGCGGTTCAAGAGCGGTGTCATACAGCTGTGAGGGCAAGCAGAGCCGAACATTAGTATTATTTCTAGGCAGGAAACGTAAACTTAAGATTGCTGGTTTAACGCGGAAAAGGATTGCTGGTTTAACGCGGAAAAGGGAGCAGAATTCGCGAAACCGTCGCAATTCTTCCACACCCTTCTCCCAAACAAGGCGCAGACAAGGCAAACCCACAAAGTTAAACTGATTGATTCTTTAGTTGTGAATATATTGGCATGGCATATAACTCAAGAAGAGAAAAATGCCCGAAGATCCGGTTGTTGCTTACTTACCATGACACGTGCGCCAGGAATAGCCCTACATGCAGCTAGAGCTGCAGCCAAGCCGGCAACATCAGCTCCGATAACCGCGACGTCAATACTGTCAAGCTTAGATGGTAAGGGGTGGCCAGAGCCTACACTAGCTGTTCCGATAGAGTCGCTTGTAGACGACAATGCGTCGGTTTGATGCTCCGCCACCGCCACAGCTCGGCATGCCGCGTCAGGACGGTGATGGATTCCAACAGGTGTATTTGAGGGAACGCTGGAAGAGGTGAGCCCCTCAGAAGTCGCTGCGACAGAGACAGCGTGCGATGATGGTCGATGATGGGCGACCCCGCTGGAACTAGAAAGCGACCGCAGTTGGTTGCAGCATGGGACATTAATTGTTTGAGGTCGTGCACTGCCGGCACCGTGTCCACATGAGCGCACCATTACCCGTGTTGGTGGTTTGGGAGTTGCTCTTTTGCTGTCCGAAAGGACGGGTACAAACAGTAACGTCTATCTGAGTAAAGGCAGCTCGGCTGAAGTAATAGCTAAACCTTTCAAGACTTTAACTCTTAGGCATGTAGTTTTCGGGCTATGCCTAATGAGTTCTTCGCACAGGATGTTGCGCGTTGGCGTCCTTCCTCGCGACGATGTTGCTATCATGTAATGATTTTAAACTTATGAAATGAACACGTGAGCTACATAGCCATAAGACGTGTCGGGTAACTTTCAGGACCTCCAACAACCTCCCACGGATCGTCGACCCGACACCTGCACGACACCGGAAGACCTCTTGACACTAAGACATTAAGTTTGTATTACAGTATTTGCCTAGTTTCGCCGATTTCAATTGTTGCAGTAACTTACACTCTTGCCATACCTTCGGAAACAATCTGCCTACATCTATCTTGGCGACAACTTCTGCGATACGTCCAAATTGGAAGATTAAAAGGGCTAAATACCGCTATGCCAGTGACTTTAAAATCGAGAGAACTTCTGAAGCACGCCGGAGTTCGTCGCCTGTGGTGTCCACAGCCATCACCATGAACACATCATGTCCGCCCCGCCTTAACTCATCGCCTTCGCCTGCAGCTACATAACCCATGTTCTGCCCGTCAGTTGCAGACACCGGTGCGACTAGCGGCCGGAACCGAAGGTAGCCCATGAACACCTCCGCCACTGCCGGTGCTTGCAGTATCTGAGAAACCTTGACACAGCGAACCTGTAAGCAGTCGGGAATAGCAAAAGAGACGGACAGCAGTGGAGAGATCGAAAGCCTGATAGGATTACGATACAATAAATTCCTTTCAGTCAAACCCTCAGGTTCGTTACCGTGTATTAGGTCAAACCCATTCCTACTCAACCTTCTGCATACGAGAGAGCTAGGGTTGTACGCGGGATGTGAAATGCGTACATAAGTAAGGATCGATTTAAAAGTCACCGGGAAGGCACCGGGAAGAACTGCGCACTCTGTCCCCCGCAGGTCCCCAACAATCGGTCATAATAACAACTGCTTCGTCCAACAACCAAAAGCCCTACTGCTCCACGTTTCGGTGTAGCGATGTGCATTGCCGTATTCGTACGACACCCACCTTACGAAAGCGCAACTCCTGCGGCTCGCGAAGGATATTCTCCAGAATCCGGCTGAGCAGCGCTAGCGACGGCGGTGGTGGCGCCGCAGCGGCGGCAGTCACCATATCCCGCAGGCCACGCAGCGAGCGGTTTATTCTTTCCCTGTTGCCGCTGCCACTACTGCTGTCGCTACTGCTGACGCTACTGCTGACAGCCACCTGAAAACCGGAACCAACACGGACAGCCATAAGATAAACGGTATTAACCGTATTGACACAAGCATCGGAAATGCGTGGAGCAGTGCGAGCAAAGGCGGCTCGGTGCACAGTAGCAGAATGCAGCGGTACAGGTCCGCCCCTCAAGGTGCAATGCCGTACTGCGCCGTACATCAATCCTTCCTTTTCATCTTCGACTCATAGCCCCGCACAGCATCGTACAACTACCCTTCCTCCCCTCCCCCAACCTACTGCGCCGTACAGGTTCCAGCATGCCAGCTGCACGCTGTTCGCGACCCGTGGGTTGAAGGTCGCGGTGATCCGCAGACGCAGGCGGCGACAAGGGGGTGACGGTGTCTCCAGGTCGAAAGCTAACACTGAATGGCGGTTGGGGAATCGTACAATGGACCTATGATCCAGCTCCATCCACGTGTCGTGGCGGCCTGAATCCAAAAGAGAATAGATGGATTTGAAGAAATAACGGACAAACTAAAAAATAAACTAAGGAATCGGGAAGCATTAAATAAAAACGATAACTGAATGGGTTTGGAAATAGGAATGAGTCTCGGGACGTACGGCTTCCGTACGACATGCAATCGTGAATTCCATACATCCGTACATTCCGACCTGCCGTGAAATCCTGCTCTGTAACAGCCTCGAGTCGCCACTCCGCGGGGTCGCGCTCCGGGCAGTCATTGGCGGACACCAGCTCATACCCAACCACCACGACAGGCTGTACGGACATGTAGTACGGACATGTAGGTGGGCAGTACGAGCAGGCGCCGCGGGGGCCGGAAGGGGGAAGCGTCAGGTTTTAGTCGAGGGTTACGAACTCAGGGAAAAGCGACAGCACAAGATGAAAAAAATTGTATCTAGGTGAGATCTAATGAAGCTGTTTACATGAAGGCAACTAAAGGTGTTGCACACACATATCTTCTTCTTCTGCTGCTGCTGCTAAACACACACATATCAACCAAAATTTACCATCAAATTAACCGACGAGGAAAAACAAATAAAGGGGCTGGTAAGGCTGTAGCGGTTTTTCCCCCCCTTTTCAAAAACCTTGCCACCTGGCCACCACCTGGCCGGGCTAAAAGCTCCGATTGGGTCCTCGGACTGCCACTAAGGTAGAGTCCTCCCTCCACAACTGCACAGTGAATGTTGCCTCACCAATTACGGTTGTGACATCGGGGTTGGACAGGACACAGGACGCATATGTCGTGAGGTGTTGTAACCTCAGACCACCAGTCCGACCTGACTGCCCACCAGAACCGTTTTTCCGATATTGCGAGCTGCCAAAAACGGTTTCAGCCCAACTGGAAGGATCACAGTAGCTCCATTCTAAAGTACAACGTCGACCAGCCTACGGTTGGTTGATCAGGATACGATAAAGGAGGAGGCCATCGAGGAGTATGCGGTACAACTGGTTGATGATCCCAGCTTGACTGGTTCGTACACGGGTCGTCTGTCACCGTCTGACTACAATAATGTCTGACCCGCTCTTGAGAGCGTTTCCACGGCGTTGCTGTCCAGTATGCTGTCACCCACTCAGATGGCAACCTTTTGACGGCCCTCCTTCGTCAAGGAGCCTGGGCAGCGCCACCCCACTTCATCCCGAGGTTGGACACCGCCGGCATCCCGCTGCTGGTGGGCAGTCAGGTCGGACTGGTGGTCTGAGGTTACGACACCTCACGACATATGCGTCCTGTCCAACCCCGATGTCACAACCGTAATTGGTGAGGCAACATTCACTGTGCAGTTGTGGAGGGAGGACTCTACCTCAGTGGCAGTCCGAGGACCCAATCGGAGCTTTTAGCCCGGCCAGGTGGCCAGGTGGCAAGGTTTTTGAAAAGGGGGGAAAACCGCTACACCTTATAGCAACCTTCGGTTGGTCCAGGATTAATGAGTTTTTAGACAGGATTGTGGTCTCAACCTAGCCAATTTGTATCTGGATCCGGTGTGAACATACGGCCGTCCGCAGCCCTTA